AGAATGAATCTTCTACTAGAACATGGCAAGACACAACTTCATAATTTTTGTCTTAAAGTTTTCCGCATCATGTGGTGAGTAGTGGAATGAGACCCAGAGAGAAAGGAAGGACATGATATGGTGTCCGCATGCGTTGACGGTCACAACTTACCCATTGAATGTGTACCTGCAAGAGAGAATCGGGGCGACAGAGGGAAGGGGGGTGTGGGGTTGTTGGAGTAGATTTACCACTTGTGGGAAATTAGACGGTAAATATGGCAACAAGCAGACAGACAGACAGACAGCAGATGGCACACACAGAAATTACATTGTGGGTTGCGTGTCATCCTTGTGCAGGGACGATCATGATGCTGGAATTCTCTGTATCCGCTCCATGATACTGGGTTTTACGCCCAGAAACGAAAATTTTGTGTGTGTGTGTGTGTGTGTGTGTGTGTGTGTGGAGAGACACACAGAGAGAGAGAGAGAGAGAGAGAGAGAGAGAGAGAGAGAGAGAGAGAGAGAGAGAGAGAGAGAGAGAGAGAGAGAGAGAGAGAGNAGAGAGAGAGAGAGAGAGAGAGAGAGAGAGAGAGAGAGAGAGAGAGAGAGAGAGAGAGAGAGAGAGAGAGAGAGAGAGAGAGAGAAGATAGACTCAAGCTAACACGCAAAGAAGTACACGGTACACACTAACCTTACAGCACACACAAGCACACAACAACGACAGACACAATGTTAAACTTTTGAAGTGCCTTTTTACCGATACCTGTTTTTTTTAGTGTATAGCAAATATGACAAGGCACACACACACACACACACACACACACACACAGACACACACAGACACACACAAATGTGGCCAACCTTGCATTTCCTGTTTTATTGCCTATCTATACTTTTTCGTTATGGATGGCTTGTGATCATTTGTGAAGGGAATGAGAGGGAGAATCTGGGTTCTTTTAAAACCGCACACACAGCACACACAGACACACAGACACACAGACACACACACACACATACTTACTGCCGTTCTTGTCAGGAGTTTGGACTGGCAGTCTGCTATTTTGCAAGGTTGGTGTGAGTGAAGTCGACCACTTTTCTCAGGGGTATCGCTAACTCTGGACGATGTGGTGAGTCCTCTTATCCATCAGTCAAATGCATCCTGGGCAGACTGTCGGGGTTCAACCTCCTGACGAGTTGGTGAAAGTCTGACGAAACAGTCTGGCAGTTGTGCTTTTTTTGAGAACACACACACACACACACACACACACACACACAGCACCTTTCTCAGAGGTATTGCCAATTCTGGGCGACATTGTAAGTCCTTATCCATCAGTCAAATGCATCCTCGGCAGACTGTCTGTTGGGGTTCAAGTTCAACCTCCTGACAGTGTTGAGTCCAGGTGAAAGTGCGGCGTTCTTTTTTTGCGGGCGAGAATGACGACATACACACCGGACCGTACTAGTGGTCATGCCATTGGGTGTCCATGGCTGAATGGGTGTATAGAGTGGGTTGTAAGGCTGTGACAGACTAGTTTCTTATAGACTTTCTGCCGTTCTTGTCAGGGTTTGGGACGGCAGTCTGCTAGGATTTCAGGGTTGGTGTGAGTAAAGTTAAACCTCTTTTTTAGGGGTATTGCTAACTCTGGGCAACATGGTGAGTCCTGACTCCTTAGCCATCAGTGAAATGCATCCCGGGCAGACTGTCAACCTCCTTATGAGATGGTGAAAGTCCAATGAAACAGACTGACACAGTTGTGCTTTTTTTTGTGGAGCTGTGGTGGCACACACACATGCACACACACAATGCCTACATGTAACAGACAAACTACACACATGCCTGCATTCAGACAAACATGCAAACGAATAGATGTACAGCCAGCTTCAGGGCGTACTCGCACTAGCGCATATAATCGCAATTTATACGCATGCGAACTTGCGATTATACATGCTAGTGTGGTGACACAGCAATGACGTATGTTGCACATCAGACAAAAGACACGACCGTGACCGGCCCTCCAAATGTGATTTTACGGGCCGTGTAGTCACACGCCGCGGAGCAGAGCTGGTATTTCTTTTGTGAAGTAGAGTAAGAAATCAGGAAAAAAAAAGCAAAACGCAAATACAGGCCCTGGAAAATATGTAGCCCCACGGGTTTAAGCCGCTGACAGTTGCGTACCAAAAGGCGTAAAATCGCAAAATGCAGACCATGTGTGACCCACAAAGGTCACAAACTGCACAATATTTGCCATTATACGATTATATACGTGCTAGTGTGAGTATGCCCTCAGATGCACCTTTTGGTTGGAGGGTGTCACTGTGAGAGTGTAGTTTGGCCAAATGCTCAACTGGGGCGAGCTGTGGACATTTTTTTGGAGATTCGAGAGTGGTGTAGCAAGTCCCAAACACAGACACACACAGACACACACAGACACACACATACACACACAGACACACACAGACAGGGACTGGGGTCTGTACAGTGTGTTTGACGGCTGTGACAGATCTCGTTGTCAGAAATACTGCCATTCTTGTCAGGGTTTTGGACCTACAGTCTGCTACGATTGCAAGGTCAGTGTGAGGAAAGCCGACCACTTTTCTAAGGGCCATCGCTAACTGTGGGCGAGGTGGTGGGTCCTTGTCCATCAGTCAAATGCATCCTGGGCAGACTGTCGGGGTTCAACCTCCTGATGAGTCGGTGAAAGTCCGACGAAACAGTCGGGCACAGTCATAGCGAGAACACACATGCACACACACACACGCGCCACACCCAAAAAAAAGAACACACACGCGCACACACACACACGCGCCACACCCAAAAAAAAGAACACACGAGCGCACACACACACACACAAACATAGCGAATATGACAACACACACACACACACACACACACACACACACACACAAAACACACACATACATACACACACACAAAAAAAAAAAGAAGAAAAAAAAAGAAATACGCTTTGATTCTGAATCTATTCACCTGGGTGGAATTGGGGCTGTTGTGGGGAAAATCTAAAACACACACAAATACGTGCGAACAGAAACGCACGCACGCCCCTGCATGCGCGCGTGCAGGGAAGGAAGCGTTGCCCAGTTTTGCCTTGCCTCGTCGCCGACTGCGCGAGAGCTCTTGTTGTCTGCCTGCAGGTTCTCTCGACCNTTGAGATCGCCGACAATATCATTGTTGTGCTAGGAGGTCGAGAGGTGTATCTGATCGCAGTTACGTCTACATTCAGCTTCCGCTAAGAGGCGAGAGATGTATCTGAGCGCAATTACTTATATATTCAGTTTGGGTTAGGAGGTTTTGAGGGATGTATCTAAGCCCAATTACGTCTGCATTCGGTGGAAAACGTCCTATTATTAATCTTGTCAAAGTCCTCCTAGTGTTAATTTGGCCAAAGTTGGGTTCGCAGGATTAATGCGAAGAATGTTTTTTTCTAAGAATGTATCTGACCGCAATGACTGTAAGATTCAGTCGAAGAACCTTTAGTGCTGTCTCTTATACACATCTAGATGTGTATAAGAGACAGCTACTACTACTACTACTACTACTATTACTACTACTACTACTGTGTGTCAGTCCACCACTACTACTACTACTACTACTTTTTTTTTTACTACTACTACTACTACTACTACTACTACTACTACTAATATAATAATAATAATAATAATAATAATATAATGATAATAATAGCAACAGATTGTTTGTTAAACCTGCCTGCAGGTTCTCTCGACCACTTCCACCCGCTTGTCGAATGCGCGGGGGCTTTCTCCTTTTTTAGAATGCGCGGTGGGTGGATTTCACTACGGTCTCCAATAATAGTTGAGTAGACCGAAAAAGAGGCGGCCTCGCGGCCCCCCTCCTGAAAAAATGGCGGGGGCTTCCCAGGACGGAGCGCGGGAACTTGCCGCGGCAGACGCGGGAGGAACGCAAAATCTCGAAAATGGGGGCGCCAATCAGATTATACTGACGACATGAGATCGCGAACGGACATACTTCAATTCGGTCAAGCGAACGGAACGCTCTCTCTCTCTCTTTCTCTCTCTCTCAGACTACTACTACTCTCTCTCTCTCTCTCTCTCTCTCTCTCTCTCTCTCTCACACACACACACACACACACGGACACGTATACATCCAAAAAGCACGGACACACGCGCACAAAGCGCACGCAAATGCAAAGCCGCGAGGACGCAGCCAGCCGCGCGGCCACCCACACAGAGACTGACAGTCACGTCACATACAATACAAATTAGGGGGAGAGTCGGATTGACGAGAGGGGAGGCCGGAAGCGAGAGAAGCGTAGCAGTGCACAGGTCGCGTGATGTAGAGAGCATTGCACAGCGGGATTCACAAGAAGGGAGAGATCGAGGCTGTAAGCCCGGCCCGGCGATCCCTCGTAGGCAGAGGAGCTATACGCCCACTCTCCCACCCGCGCTCCCACACCGCAGACACGCACAAACAAGTACACTCACTCTCCTACAAAAGCACACGCGCAGACGCGCACGAGCACGTACACTCAGCCTCCCACATACTCACACGCGCAGAGGACGCAGGGACGAATTCAGACACACAAACACACACCCACAGCGAGAGAGAGAGAGAGAGAGAGAGAGAGAGAGAGACGGCAGGAGGGAAAGTAAAGGGGATAGGAATCGCTGGAAAATCGACGAGTTCGGAAAGGTCATTTTATAAAGAAGAGAGAATGGGAGGAGCAGGAGGAGGTGTAGAATTGCCTGTAGCAGAAGGACGAAGAGGAGGGAGAGAACTTTCCCAAGGAGAAGGATAAAGCGTTCTCCTCCCATCCATAACCAGGCGAGTTCAGTGCGCACACGACCAGGTGTCTGTTGTTATAGATCAATCACTCCTCAATCACTCATCGATCACTCTTCAATCACTCACCACGCACTCATCAATCACTCATCGACCACTAATCAATCACTCATCAACCAGTGGGAGACACGTGTAGATAGCTAGGCGTTTTCCGCGACACTTCAAAGTTGATACGGAGCAGCGATGAGTAATCAAGAGGAGAGCAGAGAGTGAGAAACAAGAAGACACGAGCAGAGGGAGAGAGAGAGAGAGAGAGAGAGAGAGAGAGAGAGAGAGAGAGAGAGAGAGAGAGAGAGAGAGAGAGAGAGAGAGAGAGACTCATCGATCTGCCTAAGTCTCAGAGAAAAGGAACCGTCGGCATTCCCAGTGTTTTTTCTTTGGCGCGGGGCCCGCGTGGGGGGCGGAGAGAGAGAGAGAGAGAGAGAGAGAGAGAGAGAGAGAGAGAGAGAGAGAGAGAGAGAGAGAGAGAGAGAGAGACAAAGACTGGAAGCGCTCCTCAGCACCGTCGATGTGTCTTCATCAGATCGTATGGCCGACAACCCCTTTGGCAGCCTTGTTATCTCATTTGGGTCTTGCTGGTGGTCCCAGGCACTGGTTGCGTGTGTGCGCTGCTGATTCCCGCATTACTGGCGGGGAATGAAAAAAAGGGTTCGATTGTGCGATTTGGCTGATGATGGATCGCTGCTGAGTAAAGATTGTGAGGTTGTATTCACAAGAGAGCACTATCTTAATTGTACCTGGCCGCATTTGCGACTGGACGTGTACGCATCTAGCCGCAATAATTCCTTCGAGATTGAAGTAAAACACTGCCTGTGTGAATACGTCCTGAGATTGTGAGATTGTGAGATTGTGAGATTTCAACTGTGGTGATTGATCGTCATGTGTAGAGATGTGAGTTGTCGTTCTCCTTACCAACGCCTGGATCCACCTGACCGCAGCTACGTTCAGATACTGTCTCTTATACACATCTAGATGTGTATAAGAGACAGGAGTTAGGGTGGGGGGCGGAGAGAGAGAGAGAGAGAGAGAGAGAGAGAGAGAGAGAGAGAGAGAGAGAAACCCACGACCTCATCGATCTGCCTAAGTCTCAGAGAAAAGGAACCGTCGGCATTCCCAGTGTTTTTTCTTTGGCGCGGGGCCCGCGTGGGGGGCGGAGAGAGAGAGAGAGAGAGAGAGAGAGAGAGAGAGAGAGAGAGAGAGAGAGAGAGAGAGAGAGAAATGCCTCGTTAGTAGGTGGAGATCGACGCGATTTTTTATCGCAGTCGTGTCGACAGTTCCGCTGTGGAAACATGCATACTAACACTTGCGTCTTTTTCTTTTTCTTTTTTCCCCTCCCTCTCCTCAAGGCGGTTGTTGTTGCCTAGCGCGCGCGAATTTGAGAATGATAATGGATGATGATGATGAATGCTGATAATGATGATGAATGATGATGACTGGTGAGGACAGATGTGAATGATGATGAGATCATCAGGAAAAAACAAAGAAGTCTGCGATTATTATTTCCTAGAGCGATGACCGAATGATGATGAATGATGATCATGATGATCATGATGATGAATGATGATGAATGATGATGAGTGGTGATGAACGATGCGAATGATGTGAATGATGATGAGATCATCAGAGAAAAGAAGTCTGTGTGTGATTGTGATTATTAAGTATTGCCTAGAGATAGAAAAAGAAAAAAAAAAAGAAAAAAAAAAAGTATTGCCTTGAGAGAAACATCGTAAAAGAGACATTGAAGATTGTTATTCCTTAAAGAATGACGTATCATATAAGACAGACGACAGCCGAGGACGAGGATACTCAGACTTTTGGTAGTAATTGGACTGAATCGGGCGGCAGTTACGGTCAGATACATGCGGTTTTAGAAAATCCAAAGAGTCACACTTTCGCATTGATTGGACAGAATCGGGCTGGAATTGCGGTCAGATACATGCATTTTAAGGTAAGGAGTGGTTTAGTCTCTACATACATAGTTGCACTTTCACACCGATTGGACAGAATCGGGTCGGATTTGCGGTCAGATACACACATTTTAGCAAATCCCAGTAGGACTATGGTCTTTCGGGGACGTAGATGGTAGTCTTCCGTAATTGGGATCGGCCGAGAATATCACTGTTTGGAGGTCGAGGGGTGTATGTGATCGCAGATTACGTCTACATTCAGTCGCCGAAGCGGTTCGTCTTCCGTGATTGAGATCGCCGACAATATCATTGTTGTGCTAGGAGGTCG